AGCTCTCTCCTTTGCGGAGAGCCCAGGAACGGCAGCGGAACAACCCTCCGCGTTGGAACTGCCAGTGCTTTGGGCCACCTGACGTGCTGACAGGCGCTGCAAGTCTCGCTCAAGTACGTATGCAATTTTAGCTCAAGTCTTTACCTTGGGTTCACACAGATAGCATATCTGACTTTTTACATGGTGCAAGCCCTAAAATGCACAAAAGAAACGTTACACTGCTGTACAGACTGAGAAGAGTTTCATTAATCCCAAAGCTTTCACTTCTTTGGGAAAATAAGGCACATGGCAACCTCATGCTTACCAAAGTAGACTCTTAGAGCCACCGTACCTCAACCCATGAGAGTTTTTCTCCCTGAGGGATTTTCGCTCATATTGTTCAGGTAGGCACTTCCAACAAAAGTTAGTTTTCTACAAGCAACAATGATTAAGAAATGCTGAAAACACTGTTCATCCCTCACCAGGAATAACTGGTGTGATGACATTCAAAGAAAAATATCCCAGATCACAATGGGGACTTCTCAGCCTTTTCCTCCCTGTGCACTGACTCTACAAAAGCCCTTATTTACTAAATATTATAAACAACTCATTAGCCACTCTAATCCCATAAAGCATGCTGTGCATTAGTGGTAGGTATCCACCGTCTACTATGGGAGAAGCTACACTGTCTCTTTTTCTTTCTATTCTTCTTTTTTTCTGTCTCTACACCGTCTGTCTATTTTTAAATACCTCGTTTGTTTTATGCCAGTCAGTTGCCAGCTTTTATTCAAAAAGGGTGAATTTTTACTTAAGAATAGTATGGTTGGAAGCACACATATCATGTGGCAGCTATTAATATACTCATCATAACGTCCACAGATTCAAAATTTCTACTGATGTTCTCAGTAGCGATAGTGAAAGTTTATCTGCACAAAAGGTGCTTGCTTGTATGGTTCATAGCAAGTTTGTTGAAAGCAAGCATCTGGATTAAAACACCCAAAGTTGCAGTGAAAGGCTTCCCATGGTCCATCTGAGGAACTGATCTGCACTACTCAAAAACGTCCACAATTTCTTAGGGGAAAAAAAAAACCCAAAACAAAACCCCACAAACAAAACCAGAAAACCTTGGGGCCCTACCTTCCAGTACAACAACTATAGTAACAGCCAGTGATGTGTGACATGGTCTTACTAAAATGCATTGATGGGTCCACGAAATATTCTATGCCAAATCAAGTATTTCAAAGATGGAGAAATTCCAACTGCATCTCCTCCAACTGCCTTGCTTCTGACATTGAGACCGAGATCTCCAAATACAATGACTAAGAAATTTTGCCTGACAAACCACTTACAGAAAAGGAAAATACATTGAACTTTAAGTTCAAAGCAAACAAGCGAGTGATTCACCTTCCTTTCTTGTATGCTTGCAAGACATAGGCTAAACACAAATGTAGTACTGGGTGCTCTGAAAAGCTCCACCTGTGTTCGAGTAAGAATTTGCATCCAGGGGTAAGGTGAGGCTACACAACCCTGAACAACTGGATGAGACTCTCTTAGACAAGCATCCTCCTTTACCAGCTCGAGAGCTTTGTCTATCAGACCATGTCACCTGAATGACTAACAGCACACTAACTCCCACTGCTGCCACCTCTCACAGACTCCAGCAAGCTAAAGCGTTAGCAGGACAGCAAGCCAAATAGAATACATGTTTCCCAGTGCTCCCCTGCAATTGAAAACCTGAATACTGACAAGACGGAGGGGAAAGAAACAAAAAACCACAAGCTAGTGTAGTAGGCAACTGTCTGTCCTCAGGGTCATATAAAAGACCACGTGCTGGAAGAAAGAAGAAACAGCGAGGAGTTGGCAACATCCGAAGCACAACGCCCACAGAAATGATTATGCTGATGCCAAATCTGGTCCTATCTGGGCTTTCCAGCCACTGCTGAGTTGACAGCACGTGCTGCGATGCCGGAGCTGGCAGAGGCGATGCTGAGCACAGCTAGTGGCCACTAGCCACCTTAAAGCAACAGCACCACACATCTTCCCTGAGCATGAATAGTAAAATAACATGTACACAGTGCTCTTTGTCAAAACCACAGCAAATACTAAAAAAACAACTCTCCATTCTCTGTTTCGCCCAGCCTGCTGCGATGCCAGACTCGCTGGGTGCTGCGGTCCACCACCAAGCGTGCTGGCTGGGCTCCAGGGCCCCGAACAGCGAGCGGAGGAACAGGGAATGGCTACAGGTCCTGGCTCTGGGGAGACAGCACAACCGTAAGGACACAGCTCCTTGCCAACACTGACTGTATTCCAATTTTAGCAGACTTAAAGCTTTCCAGATTGATGGTGAAGAATTTTGAAACTCAAAGAGCACTACAGATTTACATCCAAGTTTACAGAAATAGCTGAATAACACACCAACAGCCTTAACATACACATGGAGAAAAAGAAGGAACAAGACTATCAGATCTCCCAGAATATGGATTGACAACAACAGTAAATTCCTACTTACTATTTTAAGTATGCCTGAATTACCAACTCTGGTGTTATTAAACTAAAAATTATATCATCATATATTTTAACTATATGATAGCTTACACAAGTTATGACGATTTCAATAAAAACAATCTGTATTTCACATGGTATTTATATGATATTTCAAACATGGTTACATTTCCCAAATGACATAGGACAAATTACTACTTTTTCACCAAAAGAGTTGAATCCGCTGTTGTTCCTCCCTTGTGACATCATGTGGCCTAAACATAGCAAGGATTTTAGGACAACCTGTAGCATCCAGAGCAGCTCCTCATCATGGCAACAATGGGAAAGTATTTTACTAAATAGAGGCAAAATTGAACTGTAGAATTGAGCCCAAATAATATTCTCACTGACGTAGTAGAAGTCACTGACTTCTTCCCAGAGAACTATTCTACCAGAGGTGAAGTTGGAGGCTGATTTTGGACAGAGAAGAGCTGGTAGGGAATACGGGTTCTCAGCTTCCAGCCAACACTGCACAAAATCTCAAGGGCTGTCCACGGTATCTGTAAGCAATTCCTGTACGTTTCTTTCTTCAAAGTGTAAAAGGTTGGCTTTCTGGCAAGCTCTGTGTGTTCTGACAGATGAAGGCGCCGCCCTAACGCAGAGCTCCGTCCCCACTCGTTACACGACTGGCTGAAGGGATCCAAAGGCACCGAGCGCGCTGGTTTAGGCTGTGCTGCTGCAGGAAATGCTCTTCAGTGGGAAAACAGCGAGGTGCCGAAGGTGAGCAGAAAGCCAGCATCTCCCTTCCCTGACACCCAGTGCAAATACGGGATTGCTGGATCTTTCAGAAGATTTCCTAGCAGTGTGAAGCCTGAACAAATAATTTCTGACACTGCACTAATGATCTTAGGGAAGGTGTGGTGTTAGCACATTCAAAAGCCTTAACCCTGCCCAATGCTCTGTGTGACAGACCACGTCGTGATTAGAAACAGTTTAAGCACATAAAAATTACAACTGGCACCAACATCTAAACTATAGCAAATTCCTCCCTGATTGCTGTTTTGAAGACAATGCTTCCAGCAGAACAGAACTGTTATTTTATGTGTATCAACCATTCACACCTCATCCTGCTTGCCGCAGAAATGCCCTTCTGTCCCATGCACTTGCTGCCAGAAAGAGCCGAGAGGCAGGGGGCAACACACAGATAATTACTACAAACCTGGAACATTTTCAAGGAGAATGTTTGCTTTTGACTTTGGGGGGATTAAAGCCAGTCTTCCATAAACAAGCATGAAAATATCCCAAGGAGAGCTACATTACTAATGAAGATTTTCTTGCTTCTTGTCAGTTGCTTCCGCCACTTCTGCTGCCACTGGATGAGCGTAACGAAGGCCCTTCTACTGCAGGGCTCTCTGCAGGTGTGATTAAATCTGCCTCTTACTTCCCAAAGTCCCCAAGTGGACTATCATGCCTCAGTTACAGAGATAATTTCTCAGAATGAAAGAGCCAATAAGAAGTGATTCCTTTGGGCATCTCAACAGCGTTAACACCAAATGCAGTAAAAAGCATCAGAGTAGCAGAAAGCAATTTAGTCCTCGTGGAGGCAACTCGTTTGCAATGCATTCCAAACATTCTAACCGCACGTATCTGCCCCGGTTTAAGTCAGAGGACGGGTACAGGCAACGGCTGCACTGAACCATCACCTCAGGAGAATGGCACTGGCTGCAAGTTAAGTGGTTGAGTTCATCTCTTTTTTTCTCTTTTTGTCCTCATCACAGAACATGGCAGCAGACAACCTGGTATGATTGCTAGACTAATTTGGCAGTGTGAGCTGCAGGCTGGGGGG